AAAGAGACAATCAACCATCCACTCTCTGTCACACCTAGAGTCACACAGAAGAGCTCCAGAAGGTTTCAAACTGAGAACTCTGGACTCAGATCATCTGCTGCACACAGTTCTGATCACTTATTACCAATAATAATTTTATTGATAATTATCATGAGTAGTCCTTAACTAGGATGTAGTTGGGCAATTAAATATTCATATATGTGTAAATTTATTACCATAATTGCATGAGTCACGTAAATTAATGTTTAAAACGAGTCCCCCCGCCAAGACCAGTTTCCTAGGGGAAACACTGAACGATACCCTTGAGGAATTCTGCAGAGCGGTGCATTAGTTGATTCAACTAAAAGACATGAGATATGACGCGCTGAAGCGCAGTGACATCACAGACCATTGTTGAAATATGAACATTTTATTTTTCTTTCGAACTAAACTAGCCTAACTCTTCTTGAGCAATGGATTACCAGATTCCCCTGTTGTCTTAGTGACTAAATTTAAAGTTGTATATCTCTGGATATTTCTCATTTTGACTTGTCTTTCCTCATGCATATTTATATTTTTTCATTTAAAATGACACCAGTACCAAACAATAGTCTGAAAAGCATAGAAGATGAGCTTCTATGGAAACCCATATGTCTAAGTGGGAAGCGTACAAATAAATATGAATTTTTAGATGTGTAAAAAAATATCCAACTTGAACAACGACTATGTAAAAAAAAAAAAAATCAAAATACCGCTTCAACATCCAACTTTTTTTGACTCATTTAAACTTCAAATAACGTTTGTGCTGTGACATCTGTCTAATCTATAGAGCTCCAAAGAGAATGAAGTTTTCTACTAATTTTCCCCCCAAAATCTCATTAATATTTATGGAGAAAATCTCTGCAAATGCTATTCACGGTGTATGATGCACTGCTACCAAAAGTCATGGCATACCTTTTTATTAAAGTAGTTTAAAACTGAAACTCTCAAATTAATTTGCAATTTGGTTTGTGCTCAAAGTTTAAACTTGTGAAAGGCAGTAAAACTGGTTTTCCAGGACATTTAAACAGGTCAACAACCGCCAAGCCAATAAAAACCTAAACTAAACAGAATTATGTGTTGCAGACGTGTTCTGTTTTTTGTATTTTTTGCTTTGATTGTCTGAGAAACAAATGACTTCAGAGGTTTCAACAGAGATCACAGGTCCGATAAAGAAATTAAACTTGGTGTAATTGTTTGGTCTTGTAGCCACATTGTTTCTGGCTTGTTGGCAGACAGAGTTCTTATTCTGTGGAGGTTTCAGTGTTTCCCGCAGGGTTTTTGTTGGTGGGAGAGCTGGGGTTTGACCAGACAGCTTCCAGATGTGCAAATAAATTAAATCAGAGCAGCGTTTGGTCAAAAAACAACAAAAAGATATATATA